ACACACACACACACACACACACACACACACACACACACACACACACACACATACACACACACACACACACACACTCATAAAGTTATGTGTTTAGTAGGAGAGATAGTGAGTTTATGTCAGAGAGGGGGAAGAAGTGATAGGTTAATAGAATGCTATATACCGTACATAATATGTAAATTTGCAAAAGTTGGTGAAAAATATTGCTTTTGTTGTTGTGTTTTTTTAATTGTAGATAAATTAAGTACTATCTTACCTAATCTTATCTTAAAATCCCATTATATCCAACTATTTTGTCAGCAATTTGGATCTCTGAAAAATAGTCCGGAACTGAAAACTTGAATTGCCTTCACGTCTATTACATTTATTTTTAGTTGCCTTATTCCTTGAGTGCACGAGCTAAAGCTAGCGGTTGATGCTGTGTGAGCGCACTTGTAAACTTTCGTCCTTTTCTCAAACGCGGACGAAGCACATCTTAATACAGTGGACTATTGCTACATAAACACTTATATGCAGTTTGCTTGTGCATCGACACTGTCAACAGGATTCATTTTGTAACTGTTGTGGTGATAGTGCGGCAGAAAGAGCTCCTCATCAAACATCTTCACCGTCAACTGGATGCGATCACCGGTGAATATCTCTTGAACGTCCAATATTATTTCTGCTACTGCATTTCTTACCAGTTCCGTGTTGGCTACGCTTGTATAGGTCTAGAAATCTAGTCATTATTCAGTCGTCGAACCAAAAGTTTTAGATAATGAGAATTCTTCTGCCTCTAAAGTAAATCGGGCATGATTAGTCACTAGACTAAAACAAATCAATTTAGCGACTAATATATTTTGTTCACAGATATTGTTTACATAAAAGTGCAACCCCGGAAATCCAAATTTGAAAAAAACCACCCCAGCTAACAAAACCAGTTGCGGACAGTAGTTATTTTCGCACACCATGCCTTCAATTGACACAAAGCCAAACCCAGTGAGCATCCTGGCCTTTGTATTCTCGTGCTTGGGATGTATCCTGACCGTCGCGGCCATCTTCCTCGTCGACTGGTGGACTTACTTCTTCTCTGACGGCCGGACAGCGCACTACGGCGTCTGGACCAATATATTCTGCTCCAAGATCGGCGACTGTCAGTCTTCCTCAGCAACAGAGCTAGCGGGAGGCCAAGGTGAGACCTGCTGATGTTGCTTTTGTTTTTGTTTTTTGTACGAGTTTAACTCATTGGGACTAGGGCCAGTAGTTAGATACATGTAGTTAGATACCGGTAGTTAGTTAGTTTGTCTGTCTGTCTGTCTGTCTGTCTGTCTGTCTGTCTGTCTGTCTGTCTGTCTGTCTGTCTGTCTGTCTGTCTAACTGTCTGTCTGTCTAACTGTCTGTTTGTTTGTTTGTTTGTTGTTTGTTAAGCACGTCGACTCGATAAGGGCCTTCTAGTTCAGGGAACGACGGACGTAAACAACAATGGGAAAGAAAATAGAAGAACATTCAGATAGCGCCCTTCACCAACCACCCATTGATCTATAGGTGAGGGTAAAGAAACGATAAGAATACAGGAAAGATAATCCGTGTATGCATCTAAGCATCGACGTTCGTGAGTGCCATATCGCCTCTTGACGAGTGGAAGAACCGCCTGCTGTTGAGTTTTCTTGGTACACTCCCCCAACCTGCTAGTGGACTGTTGGTGGCTGGCGGGTGCTCTGGTGTGGTTTGCCCCATCTTTCCTATCAAACATCTATCGTCCTTATATAATCCCTCCTACTTCTTTGTTGTGTCTGTTACTCTCTTGTAACATATCTATTCTTCGGCACTTATATGATCTTATAAGATGTTGCAAGTGCCGTAACACTCTTTCTAAAACTAAGCTTGTGGACTACTGGTGAAGGAGGCTGTTCGGTCCATTAAGAATGTAGAATCCCCCCTTTCATGACAAACAGGCTGCCCCCTGCCGTTTTCAAATGTACTTGTGATATTTATACTGACTAGTAGAAGGACTTCAGGTTTTGGCAACAATTTATTTTGAATTTTTTCCCTGACGACGATCCAAAGAGCCTGTTCTTTTCAATTTTAGAACTGACAAGAAGGTCTTCAAACAGGACTTCAGGTATTGTGCGTCCTTATTCGAGAAGACTGGGTACTCGATCCTACCTTCTCTCAAGGACCAGGTGGTTTAGTTAACACCGGGGGTGGAGGAGGGAAGGGGG